CCAGTGACTGGGGTAATTTTGGAATTTATGGGTACACCAAAAAGCTGCTACTAGGCCTTTATAGATTATGCTAGCATAATTTTTGGCATAATTTGAGCAAACTGGCATAATTTCTGCCAAGTAGCAATGCTAGCATAATTCGCATATATTGATAATTATCGGATCATTTTTGATGCTACAATTTGATCATTGTTCATCTCTACTCCCAAGCACTTGGTGACGTTATTCGATGTTTTAAGTTTTAGTTCAAGTAGTAGCATTTGTAGTTCACTGTGAATCACTGAGCGGCGTGTGAAACGGTCTGAGCCCGGGTCAGGGGTGCACCGGAACCGGAAGTCACATCTATAGAGGCCTAACCTAACCCGGAAGTCACAATCTATAAAGGCCTAACCACCTCCCCAAGCTTCATGCTGTCCTTCTTCAAATGATATACAATTGCTGATACTCGGAACCACAAAGATACCTTAACCCTAATAAAACCACCAATAACTTTTGGTTTGGTCTACATCTGACATCATCTTTTGAGCTCATTCCCTAGTACAGTCGAACCTCGATTATCCGGACTCGTTGAGACTAGAAGAAATAGACCCGGGATAATCGAGAATATAAATATTAATGAGGAACAAAAACTGATTAAATTGAGAGAGCGGCATTTAATTGTGAACCTAAACATTTACAAATCGTTTTGAACAAAATATGTTTTACATCTTCACTGTCCGTTGTGAATACCTGTGGACGTGTGTGTTAACAATTAAAAAATTAATAGCCTAAAATGTCGAAGTAAGCCAGTTTGTCTTAGGAAGAACATCGCGTGCGCATTGACAGTTCCATCTTTCATTCGAAGCTGCATAATCTGAATAGCGTCAACATTGTTCTGTCTTTCCATCCATAATAAAAGCTTTTAAAACATTCAACAGCCTCTGAGTTCGAAAAAGTTTTCTCGTGTTGGCCATCATTTTCCTCATCGCCGCTATTTTCACCTTTGAAAGAAGACTATCCAACAACGCTTTCTGAAATGGACAACAAATTGTTCCTTTTTCTCAGTCCTTTTTCTCTAATCCAAAACTCATAGACTGTATATCTTATTTCGAAAGAACGGATCGCTTACGTTTCGAGGACACGATGATCGTGAATAAAGAGGATCGCCAGTAGGTTTTTACGCCGGATCCGGAGTTGGGCTTCTTTGAAGGCCGGGATCCGTGAGATTAGAGTAAGAACGAGCGAGAAGCGAAAACATATTATTCAAGATCGCAGGATTTAGGAACCATATTGGGCACCCTCTTACTCGGGTCTTCACACGGAATGGGCTGGATTTCTTCTTCAGAACTGGTGGCGTGTGCTATGGTCGGCAGGGAAGTTGGGTGGAATGGCAACTCGAACAACAACGTACAGTTTTCCTCTTCGGACAAAGAAGCCTGGATCTCTCTATTTACTTAAAGCGTATTATTTCCTGCGGCGATTGACTTTCTGAATCGCAAATTATATCGCGGCAAACGAGTTATCTGGTGCTCACGCCACTCGGGCGATCCTTTCTTGTCGGTGCTCAAGGGATTACATTACTCGTCTTGTGGGCAACTGAATTTTGTCGTTTTCTTTCACCTTGATAACGTCCTGGAAGCTCCAAGAAGTGCTCCGCGTAACCATCGCTGTGACGATAGGTTTTTCGCCCAGAACTGAACTCTCGCATGGAACGCAACAACAAGGAGGGGAAAACTAGCTCGGTAAACACAACTTGGCAGTGGGAGCGGAAACTCGTCACGATTTCCTGGTACACGGAGATCTGCTTCAAGCGAAATTATACGGACGTCAAGGATTAGACTACGTTCACATGAAAGCAATGAGCGTAAAACAAATAACATTGTGCAGTTTGCAGAACAATGTCATCCTTTCATGATATCAGTCGTAAGAGCTCGTGGTTTGTTCAGCAGTCTTCTGCCACCGATCGTAATGATCATACTTCATGTTGTAAAACTTATTTTTTTTGGGCCACGGTTTTAGCTTCCAAAATATTTTTCACAACTTGTCCTGTTGCTGTTTGTAAGTCTGGCTAAGCCTCTATGATTACTGGACTCCGTACTAACTTTAGGGACCTTAAGCAACCACGACGGCGACGGCAACGAGGACGTGGAAAAACAAGAGATCTAATTGGCAGAACAATAGCTCAGCACGTGCGTTTTGAAACTTTGTACATTTCTTAGCCGTCCTATGCAAAACAACAACGTGAAATCGCCAAAATTTGCGTCGTCTGCGAACCGAAACCGCGACGGCAAATTATTTTAATTTCCATTTGGAACTCAACGGCTACTTTATACGTCA